TCCTGGCAACCCAGCCATGAGCCCCCATGCAGAAGGGAGAAAAACAAGTGCCTGTCGCACTGATAAAACAGTGGAAAGAGAGGGAGGGACAGTGGAGTGGAAACAGCCTCTGAGAAGATTCCTTGCACTCAAGAAAACACCGACTAAATGCAAAACTGCTACAACACCCTTTGATCCAAGAACACATGGAATCCTGGTGCATCTAAATGCCACTGACTGCAGAGGTTAGACTTGTGCTCCTTGTAGTTAACTCTGTTAAATTGCTCAAAATAACTGCATTTAATTCACAGTCTCGCAGATTTCCAGTGTTGCAGTGCTCCACAGTCAGTCTGTCTCAAAGACATGTTAACTGATAAATTAACCTTTAGCTGTACCTTGACATTCGAGTCCTTGTCTATACAATCCATACAGCAATGATCCACAGTGGTCACAGAATGTAGGTCTATAGAATGTTTTTTCCTTGAATTTGTGTGGCATGTCAATTTTAAACCGCTCTTTCATTTGCTACAAAATAATATAATGATATATAGTAATATATCTTATTACTGTAGATGTTTTGGTGTGTAGTATCGTTGTATATTTTCAAGAGTTGCCCATGGACAAGTCAAAATACAAACAACGAGTAAAAATATAAAGCGATTCTACACACCAAAACAACTAATAAGAGATTTATTATCCAACTGCTGTAGTCAATAAATTTATCAATGAAAGAGGAAGAGTGTGACAGTTTTGTGTGTGCACCCCAACCTGTACAGCAAACAGGTTTTTTTACTGTACACATAACTGTATGTGCATTTATATCACTGCATATTTGTACTGTTATTTAGATGGTATACGCTGCAGTTGAATAATAATATTAAATTAATATTGAAAAACACTACACAAGTCAAAACCACTGGGAGAAAAGAAAACATAAAATAATTCTCTGATTAATAAAAAATCATTTTTATTTAAGAAATGACCAATTGACAAAATTAACTTGAACTGATAAGAAAACTTCTTACAATCAATACCTTTGTTTCCTCAGCTACATGTTTAGTTCCAGAACAACTGCTCAAAATATATTCATGGCATTTTTTATGACACACCATAGTGCAAACTGAAAATGAACAAACAAATGATAATATTAAATCACAGGAGCATCAGAGTGGTGAGCCAGTATGATAAGGCACCTAGGGTGGAGCAAAGCACTTGCCACAGACATCCCACCTTCAAGCAATTGTGCAATATAAGTGTGCAAAACAAAAGCAGATTAAATGTCTTTTAAAAGTTTCCATTGATCCTAAGCAAATTCATTATTAATAATTATTCATTTGTAGTTTTTACTACAATTGCTACTAATCTCGCAATCTGATTGGCTAATTTGCCGTTGTCTATAAGAGTCCCGACAACGCTGCTTGCGTCATTGTGTCACGCTCTGAAGAAACATTTTCTTTGATGTTGATGTTGTGGTAAAAAACAAATCGAATTTGGTTTAGTGTTGTCTGTACTCTTATCGACAATGATATGTGTCATCACAGGAGTCAAAATTAGTTGTGGACTCACTGTGCCTTGTGAGTCCACAACATTTTGACCACTGTAATGACACATATGGTTGTCGATAAGAGTACAGACAACGCTAGACCACATTCGATTTGTTAAATTCCACTAAGTCTTTCCATTACTGGTTTTATCCAGGAAGTTGTTGCTAAGCAGTAATTAACAACAAGACTTAATAAGTAAAATGCACATTCAAAGACTTCTTACCTTTACATTGATAGCCTTGTTTCTTAAATCCCCTACAAAGAAAAAGAAAGAAAAACATTTTTTTTTTATAAAGTGATAACTTGATTAGATGTAAACAAATTAAGTAGTAGTAACAGTCAGCCTTTACCAAAAAAAAAAAGAAAAGAAAAGGAAAGAAAGAAAAGAAAAAAAAATCCAGCATAGAGATAAAAAAGTGTAACTCGAGCCGGCAAGGAGTGAATTCAACTGGATAAACCTTACAGTGTAATGAATTTAAACAAAGTTATGTACACCCGGGGGCATAATGAAAGGGAGGTGCAAAGACCTCTTTATGCTCTTGAAATTTGGGACCTTCAGGAATTTTTTTAAGCAAGAAATTTTGTACTGACCAGTTTTGCNGGGGGGGGGGGTCTATCACTTTTGTTTGAAACAATTTTATTTATTTATTGGTTTCTTTTTTGATTCCTAAATATCTATTGGCTTACACTTACAAAGAATCAGACTACAGTCTGCCTAAAATTGGTGACAAGATGGATAAAGAAAGGTTGGATTCAAAGCCTGTCTTGAACTCTCTTGATGATTTGTTTTTAATTGTTTTTATTCCAAGAGAAAAGGCCTCCATTTGTTTGTTGTTTTTAACTTTTTTGGATCTGAATTTAACATAACAGGTACATTTTTGGGTCTGACGATTTGTCCTTACTCAATCCACCCAGTTACAGTAATAATACATCTGAATACCCCCTGGTTACGTAACAGGCTTTTAGCCAGAGTTGAAAAAGTGGCCATCCAAAATGTGCTATACTGGGACTACTCAAATGAGCAATTCATAAGGTAGTTGACATATGAAAAATAAAACATTCAATTTTCTTTAGAAAGTGGCCCTCTACAGGATGCTTAAACACCCATCTAGCTAAAAGCCTGGTTATGCAAAGTTCTATATAATTTAAAAAATCACCACACTTACCACATGAATTCTGTACAGAAAGAACAAAAAACAGGTTGCCTAAAGAATCTGGCAACAAATCTGTGTCCTCTAATGACGTGAGACTTCTGTTTTCGCATGGCGCCACGCCGACCAGTGAGGCCACTGTGGTTTTCATGAGGCTTTCCTTCTTTTGTGGGATCATCTGTAAATTGTAAAGTATCATGACTGTTCTTCACTAAGCTGTTTTAGGAAGTTTGGATTATTTTACATAAATGTATTTTACATAATAGAAGGCAGAACTTACCTCCTAACCCAGAACGGAACCCTTAGTAGATGAGGAAATTACAAAAAAGGGTTTAAAATTCAACTACATGGCACCACTACTTCTGAAAAAGCTTGACTTTCGATCACACAAGTATGAGAGATGGATATGCATACTAAATCATCTCCAGGCTTTGTCTTCCTAAATAAATCAAAAGTGAGGTAGGTGATGTGCATCACGTTCCACATTTTTTTCCTGTTTGTCCTTGTCAACTAAGTTGGGGGGGGGGAGTGAACAAACCTATGGAGAGTAACCTCCTGTTAAATCTTTCTCACAATTAAGCCCAAGACATTAATTTACAGGTGGTTCAAGACAACTTATAAATACATGAAAATTAAATCTTGTTTTGGTAAAGTCTGAGTCTTTTTGTTCATTTTCTGTTCCTCGATTTTGTTTAATTTTCTTTTTCACTTCTTGTTTGAGGTCATCCTGTCTTTTGACATAAAGTAAACATGCATTCATTTTGCATAAGGCTATGTAAACAAGGTTGTGACTATGTCTTAAATGTTTACATCAGACTGTGTAAACATACATGAACATAGTGCAGGGTTATTAAAATTAAATGGCTGCTGGTGATATGAAAACCCTACATTTTGATCTCAGCCATTTACTAGATACTTGTCAGATTCTTTAGAAAAAGATGGCTAAATCTACCGCCTTCTCTAATGATAAAAACGCCCTCTACTAATAAAACTTATGACAACCCTGATTACATGTTCTCTTTATTTGAAATGTACATGCATGTTGCAAACACATTGATGATAGTCTGTTACCTTGTACATTACTACCGTACACATGTAGGTGGCTTCAGGCAGTGACAACCAAGAAGGTAGACATTGTGAAAAAGTAAACAATTTATAAAGTCACATCAGTGATAGAATTCCTTACCTATGACTTCGATAAAATGCCTGACTTGCACCAGTAGTCTGCCAGTGGGTTGAAGATCCAGCTAAAAAGGGAAGGGAAAAACTCTTCAGCTAGGATTCTAAAGCTGCTCAGCATCTAATTTCTCCCAACCAAATCAAAACATTGTCAAGCAAACAGCTAACGAGAATTAACAAGAAGATCTGTTAGATCTTATAACCGCGCTTTTAAAATTTAACTGTTTTCTTAG